CCTCTGGCTCCTTCTCTGCTTGTAGGTTTGGCTCTTTAAGGCTCAAAGTCGTAGCTGATCGTTTATATTGAGTAAAACTCACTTTTAAAGTTAGTGAGTTGCGCTCGGGTGAGCAATGTTAAACTCGAGGAATATGGAGTTTTACGTAATTTTGTGAAATACGTTAGATTATTTGGCTCGTTATGACTTGAGTTCGAGTCGTTAATTATGATAAACGAGCCGAGCAAGTAGATGTGCCATACACATTTATTATCTATCTCTATCATTTTTTACATTATTGAGAAGAGTGAGATAAATAGGTAGATCAACAATTCCTTTCAAATTGAAATATTATATTCTTTTAAAAAACAATATGTAAATTAAAAGTAGGTATACTTTCAAAAAAATTGACAACTATAATAAAACGTGCAGACGATTAATGACGTTCTTTTTGGGATAATCTCAAGCGGGCTCTCGAGGTACTTGGACATGAGATCACCCATAGGTAAAAAACTAGCTATCTAATTCATTTTTAACATCTAAAAATAGAATTTAAATTGTTGGAAATGCTACGGTCCCATTACGGTGTCATCCCGTCGGGTATATTAAGCATTGGATCTTTTATCTTATACTAACTACTCGTGTATCCAACGGTTAAAACACCCGACAGAATGGTACCGTAACGGGACCGTAGCATTTCCTTAAATTGCATTGTTAGTAATTTGTACTGTCTAACTTGTCATGTAGCTGTAAGAGAAGGGGAGAAGATCACAGGCATGGCCATGGTCAATTTGAGAAAGCAACAGGTCACATTTGTTTTAGTTATGTTCTTGAATCATTTCTAGAGAAAATTACAATTTTCGTCTTGTATCTTCACTACTTTAATTTTTTCGTCCCCTTCGAATTGTTAATTTCACTTTTGCCCTTTATATTTACAAAACGGTCGCAAAACGGTCCTCGAACAATCTGAAGGGAATGAAATTGCAACCATTCTGCAAATTCAAATGAGACATTTTTTGTTGCGAAAAAGACCATTTCATAATCTTCTTTTACAAACGTAAGCGACGAAAATTGAAAACAACAATTCGAAGGGAGCAAAAACGTTGAGGTCGTGAAACACACATGACTGAAATTGCGATTTTCTCATGTTATAAATTTCGATTTTTAAAATTGTTTAAATAGGATTTATTCAACTTGGTGAAGGTCGAGTCTACGACAAGATGGGGCAATCAATTTGGGGTGATCCTTTTGCCTGTTTACTATCACAAGAACTATTCAAATCCTCTGGATTTTGTCAAGACAGCAAAAACAATGATAGACAAGAAGAAACTCTCCCTTGAGGCTCTCTTCACTTACAAATCCATGCACTTGATCACTTCTCTTTTTGGAGCTAAGGCAACAACAAAAATAAAATTCAAATCCTCCTATTTTTCCGTAACTATTCCAAGTTTTTCGACTTGCTAAACAACCCTTCTTTTCAATGTAGTTTACGAGCATTCTCAATCATCGACTTGTTTGCAACTCGACTTTTACGATCTCAAACGTAATCGGGCCCCAAGAAAAAGTCACGCTCGCCGGCAACCCGGTTAAGTACATTAGGGTGACTTCTAGCAGCCTGCCTCACGTAAAGTTTTCGTTCGCGTATTTTTTTTTCTTTTGGTCTCGATTTGCATATACTTATATATACATTCGCTGTTTTTGAAGTAATTGTTATAAAGAATTTTGTTTGGTGAAGTAATTTGTTTATTTATGTGCAGGCAATCACAATGCACATGGTGAGCTATGCAGGATTTGCTGACATGCAGATTTTGGTGGCTAAGGATATAATTACAGACCCCAAGTTTTTGGCTAAGTGTTTTGAGGATGCTTTACTTGAAATGAAGCAAGCTGCAGCAGAGGATATTAATGAAGTTAACAAATCTTAAGAAAAATTGTACTGAGAAAACATGTTACAAGTGAATCATACAAGTACAGTCTCAAATTTGCTAAAATGTCGACATAACACACACAACTTTTATTGTACGAAAAAACACGGCGACTCCATCTTTCAACGCTCGAAAGGAACCGAAGAAAAAAAATAAATAAAAACTAGCACGAGCCGAAACATATTCACATCAAGAAAACCGGCGAAACATTTTATTCAGAAACCCGATTTTCTTCACTTCACTCACCAAACGAGCGCGTTATTCTTATTCTTGCCGGCATAATATTGCTTTTTCCTTCTAAGCAGCAGCTTCTTCAGAAACCCGAGCTTATTTCTCTTGCCGGGGACAACCACCAAAGCGTCATAGCTACTCGCCGCCACCTGGCCGTCTGTGAAAGGGAAAGCTCCATAGCACCCAACAGGTGGCACGCTCCTATTGGCCGTCGTGCTTATGATGATTTCTTTCGTCTTGGGGGACTGTTGACCGTCCGATTCCAGCTTGTCCTCGCATATCATCTGATCGCGCAGAGACGACCGTTGTTTGAGTGTCGACTTTTTCTTGTCGAGAAGTGATTTTTCGTTTTGTGGGCCCAGTGCTTTTATCTGCTGCCCGAGCTTCATAATGGTTTGCTCACACTCTGCCAGCTTAACCGAAGCTTTCGTGATCTCCATGCCCTGTCCAATTATAGTTTGATCGACAAGCTTCGATTTTTATCCGTGCACTTAAGAGGTGTAATAACTATATTGTGAAGGATCTTTATGCAATTATCCCTAACTTCTTGATAAATGAGATTATGAGAACAGAAAATTAAACTCACAGTTTGGAGCAAGTCTTCTTCTGGATTCCCATTTCCCTCCGAGCACCGGCTATTCGTAACACTGCTCGATAAAAATTCACAAAAAGCCGATTAAAACGAACTCTTTTTTATAAGTCGAACAATTATTAAGAGGGCTAACATGCAATAAAAACACACAAAAAAAAAA